TCTCTCCTGCTGCCCTGGGGCTCCTTTGGGGGCTCTCCCTGAGCCCTGCCAAGCTGCTGAGCCCAAAACAAACCAGCCCTAAACAATCGTTTGGCGGGCGCCGAGGTTGTTGTTTATCCTGCAGCTCCCCAGGGACAGCCGTGAATCACTCCGGGAGCCGAGGGAGGGAACAGCTCTGCCAGCCAGAGACCCTCCAGAGAGCCCGGGCTGGGCTCCCTGCGCTGGCAGCCGGGCTCCAAACGCTTCCAGCAGCGGCTCCTGGCTCCCTCTGCTCTGGAGAACTGGTCCCAAGTCCTGCAAAGCTGGTCCCAAGTCCTGCAAAGCTGGTCCTAAGCCCCGCAAAGCTGGTCCTAAGCACTGCAGCAGCTTGGATTAGGGAAGGGTTTGATCCCTTTCTCTCCTGGAAGGGTGAGGGAGCAATCCTGCACCCCAAATTGCAGCTCTGGGGTTTGAAGTGAGGATGAGGAGGCACAGCACCATGAAATCGTGGAATTGTTGGGACTGGGAGAGACCCTAAAGCTCATCCCGTTCCACTCTGTGCCAAGGGCAGGGGCGCTTTCCACTGTCCCAGGGTGCTCCGAGCCCCGTCCAGCCTGGCCTGGGACACTGCCAGGGACGGGGCCGTGTCCCATTGTGTCCCCAAAGGACGGGACATCTCTCCTGGCAAACCCGCAGCTGCTTTTGCCCCTGCAAAGAAAGGCTCGTGCCCTTGGGAGGCCTGGCCCTGCCATCACCCCCGCTCCCAAATCCAAGCCCGGGGCTCCAGAGGACACAGGGCTCATTCCCAGAGCCTGGCTGACCCCGCCGAGCCCCTCTGCCCGGCGTTTGGCGACATCAATGGCACCACTGTCCCTGGAAATGTCCCCGCTCGGGCCGCCTGAATGGGAGAAAGGGCGGCTTTGTGCTCGGCAGGGCTGCGCGCCAGAGGGAAGGGGAGCGGGAACATCGAACCGGGGAGAGAAGGGAAGGGAAAGGCTCCGAATGCCATGGAGAGAAGGGAACAATCCTGCTTTCCATCAGGACACAACGAGCGGCTCCTTGTGGAGCCTCTTGGGAAGCACCGGAGCATCGTGGAGCATCCGGGAACATCCATGAGCATCCCGGAGCATCCCAGAGCATCCCGGATCGTCCCAGCGCATCCCAGAGTATTCCGGAACATCCGGGAACATCTAGGAGCATCCCAGAGCACCCCGAAGGATCCGGGAACATCCCAGAACATCTAGGAGCATTCTGGAGCATCCCAGAGCATCCAGGAGCATCCGGGATCATCCCAGAGCATTCCAGAGCATCTGGGAACATTCGGGAGCATCCTTGAGCATCCCAGAACATCCCAGAGCATCCCGGAGCATCCCAGAACACCCAGAAGCATCAGGGAGCATCCCAAAACATCCCGGAGCATCCCAGAGCATTCCAGAACATCCAGGAACATCTAGGAGCTTCCCAGAGCATCCCGGAGCATCCCAGATCGTCCCAGAACATCCTAGAGCATCCTGGAGCATCCCAGAGCATCCCAGAACATCCCAGAACACCCAGAAGCATCAGAGAGCATCCCGGAGCATCCCAAAACATCCAGGAGCATCCCAGAACATCCAGGAGCATCTCAGAGCATCCCAGATCGTCCCAGTGCATCCCAGAGCGTTCCAGAACATCCGGGAACATCCGGGAACATCCGGGAACATCTGGAAGCATCCCAGAGCACCCCAGAGCATCCAGGAGGATCCGGGAACATCCTGGAGCATCCCAGAGCATCCCAAAACATCCGGGAGCATCCCAGAACACCCAGGAGCATCAGGGAGCATCCCAGAGCATCCTGGAGCATCCCGGAGCCGGCTGTTCCCATCTCCGAAGCACAGGGGCAGCGTGGGCTGCAGCCTCTCCCGGCAAATTCCATCCCCCAGCCCGGCTGGGGCTGAGTCAGCTCCGCCTTCCCTCTGCTCGCTCCAGCATTCCCGGCTGGCAGCGGCTCCCGCAGCCTAGACACTCCTGAGTCACCGGCTCGCACCGCTCCCGGCTCCGAGAGGGGGGAATTCTGTAGGAATTCTGTGGGAATTCTGCGGGAATTCTGCGGGAATGCGGCTGGAGGTGATGGTTCCGACGGGTTAAAATCGGGAACTGAAATAAAGCTCGGCACGAATGGAAGTGGAAGCGGGATTGGAGCAGAAGCTGCTGGGGTTTGGGGAGCTGGGGTGGGTACGAGGCAGAGATTTCATTTTCCACCCATAAACTCCTTCCAAGTGGGAATTATCTGGGAATATCGGGTGGGAGAGGTGGGTAGGGAGTCTGCCTGCTCCCTGGAATTGTACACTCCTGGAATTGTGCTCCCCTAGAATTGCCCTCTCCCTGGAATTGTGCTCCCCTAGAATTGCCCTCTCCCTGGAATTGCCCTCTCCTGGAATTGCCCTCTCCCTGGAATTGTGCTCCCCTAGAATTTCCTGTCCCTGGAATCTCCCTCTCCCACCCGGCCCCTCGGCTGAGCTGTGCCATCCCGGACTCTCCCGTGGCTGTCGCAGGCCGGGGGGACACGCGGCACATGGAAAATCGGGATTAGCACGGGCACGGTGCCGAGCCCTGGCAGCGCAGCCGAGCCCCCGGGAATTGTCGCTGTGACGCGTGGCAGCGCTGTCACTCGCGGTGGCCCCGATGGCACTGCCACCTGCTCCGCCACCGCTCACAGCTCCAAACCCTGCGCAGCTCGGATTCCTTTCCACATCCTCATCGGGATTTCGACCTCAGTGACGGGAGGGAAGTGACTCGAGGGCTGGGAACGTGGGAGTGTCCCCGCATGTCACCTGCGATCTCATCCCGGCTCTGAGTCAGAGCGGGCTCTTCACATCTGCTGGGATATGAGTCGGGAGCCGCCGGGATGCGGTGACACCGATGCCTGTCCCTCTTCCGCTTCCCAGTTGTCCCAGGAATGTGATTCAGGGCCACTTCCTGAGTCACGCATGAGTTCCCACACCTCAGCTCCCAAAACT